TGTTTTGATTGTTTTTTGTCTTGTCTTTGATTGTTTTTCTGCCTTATCAGCCTCAATCTTGTATTTAGAGTAGGATAGACTGTATTAAGGGTTCGAATTCGACCTCAAACGGTGGTCCTAAGGTTCGTACTCGACCTCGATTTGGAGTAAACCAAGTTTTGCCGAGGTTCGTACTCGATCTCTGATAAACGTAATGAGGTTCGTACTCGACCTCGATTTGCAGTGAAACGAATTTTGCCGAGGTTCGTACTCAACCTCGGATAAACGTACTAAGGTTCGTACTCGACCTCGATTTGGAGTAAAACGAATTTTACCGAGGTTCGTACTCGACCTCGGATGAACGTATAGAGGTTCGTACTCGACCTCGATTTAGAGTGAAACGAATTTTGCCGAGGTTCGTACTCGACCTTGGATAAACTTACTGAGGTTCGTACTCGACCTCGATTTGGAATAAAACGAATTTTGCCGAGGATCGTACTCGACCTCGGATGAACGTATTGAGGTTTGTACTCGACCTCGATTTAGAGTGAAACGAATTTTGCCGAGGTTCGTACTCGACCTCTATTTGGAATAAACCGAATTTGGCCGAGGTTCGTACTCGACCTCTATTTGGAATAAACCGAATTTGGCCGAGGTTCGTACTCGACCTCTATTTGGAATAAACCGAATTTGGCCGAGGTTCGTACTCGACCTCTATTTGGAATAAACCGAATTTGGCCGAGGTTCGTACTCGACCTCGATTTGGAGTAAAATGAATTTTACCAAGGTTCGTACTCAACCTCGGATAAACGTACTGAGGTTCGGACTCGACCTCGATTTGGAGTAAAATGAATTTTGCCGAGGTTCGTACTCGACCTCGGATGAACGTATTGAGGTTCTTACTCGACCTCGATTTGGAGTGAAACGAATTTTGCCGAGGTTCGTACTCGACCTCGGATAAACGTACTGAGATTCGTACTCGACCTCGATTTGGAGTGAAACAAATTTTTCCGAGGTTCGTACTCGACCTCGGATAAACGTACTGAGGTTCGTACTCGACCTCGATTTGGAGTAAAACGAATTTTGCCGAGGTTCGTACTCGACCTCGGATGAACGTATTGAGGTTCGTACTCGACCTCGATTTGGAGTAAAACGAATTTTGCCGAGGTTCGTACTCGACCTCGGATGAACGTATTGAGGTTCGTACTCGACCTCGATTTGGAGTAAAACGAATTTTGCCGAGGTTCGTACTCGACCTCGGATGAACGTATTGAGGTTCGTACTCGACCTCGATTTGGAGTAAAACGAATTTTGCCGAGGTTCGTACTCGACCTCGGATGAACGTATTGAGGTTCGTACTCGACCTCGATTTGGAGTAAAACGAATTTTGCCGAGGTTCGTACTCGACCTCGGATAAACGTACTGAGGTTCGTACTCGACCTCGATTTGGAGTGAAAAGAATTTTGCCGAGGTTCGTACTCGACCTCGGATAAACATACTGAGGTTCGTAGTCGACCTCGATTTGGAGTGTTGAGGTTCGTATTCGACCTCATAATTTTAACGGGGTTCGGACTCGACCTCGGTTTGGAGTATTAAGGTTCGTACTCGACCTTAGTGAGGGTGAAAGAGATTGGTTCGATTTTGTTTTTTATAGAAACAATAAATAAGAAAATGGATTCAGCGAAATAAGCAATTTTATTGATCGTTTTTGTGTGCCTCGTTAAAAACCCTTTCAGTCAAGGACTGAGGCGGGAAAAGAGTGCACAATTTTGTTCATACAGAAAGGAGAAATAGAACCTAATGAGCTATGGTGGGGGGACCCCCCTTGCTCCGGATGAGGAGATCTTCAGACTCTCGGCGTAACACTACCGAGCTGTCTTCTGATTTGCCTTGACGGAGATGATCTTGTTGTCATTCCCTGGGAACTTCATGGTGAGGTGTGGGGTGGACACCACCGCTCCGAGCTGATTCAAGGTTGGCCTCTCGATGATGATGTTATAGGAGGTGTTGGCCTCCACGAGAAGGTACCGAACCATAATTCTCCTTGTATCCGGGGGTACCCCGAAGGTTGTCAGTAGGTCTATGTACCCGCGAGTGTGAACTCGCTCTCCTGCGAAGCCGACTAAGGGCTCCGTGTGCGGCTGGATGAGAGAATGGGGGACGTCTAGCCTAAGGAACGTTGGCCAGTACAGGACGTCGGCCGAACTTCCTTGGTCAATGAGTGTCTTCTGTACCTCCCAGTTGACGACCTCCACCATGATAAGCATGAGATCATCTTGGTTAGGGCTGACACCTGCGCAATCCTCGTCAGAGAAGGAGATCGGCGGTGAGCTTTGGTGCGAGGCCAAGGTGGTAGAGTGGATGCAGTTGACATTCCGCAAGTGCCTTCTTCGGGCCGAGCTGCTGGCGCCTCCACCGGCGAAACCACCTGCAATTGTGTTAATCACTCCCCGTAAGGGGGCTGTCCCTGTCTCTTGGCTTACTTCGGCCTGCACTGCGCCGCCGACATTTTGTTGGGAGCCAGAGTGTTGGTCCGTGCGAGTTTCTCGAGCCTCGCCCTCTGCCACGCCCCCGACCACCATAGCCTCCTCGGTGACCCTACTATCGCTGGATGTATTGGCCGAGGTGGCCTGCCTGGATGAGCTCTTCGATGCGGTCCCGGAGCGTGCGACACTCCTCCGTGGTGTGACCGTGGTTCCTGTGGTATCGACAGTGCTTGGACTTGTCGGCGCTGTTGGGAGTGTGACCTGATGGTGGAAGGGCGAGTAAGTTGTTGTTGCTGGCTTCTTCCAGGATGTGGACTCTGGGTGCATTCAGGGGAGTGTAGAAGTCTTATCTCCCCCCTCTGTTTGCCTTAGCCGACCTCTTGAACTGGCTGTCATTGTTGACTTTAACCTTGTCGTTGTGCCCCTGCTCTGGCTTTGCTGGTCCTTTTCCGCGATCCTGGTCACGGAAGGCGGAGTGTTCCTCCATCTGGATGTAACCTGCAGCGCAGGCGCGGAGCTCGTCCATGTCGCGAGGGGACTCACGACACAGGCTATCGACGAATGGCCCGGGTTTGAGTGCCATGAGCATGGCATGTAGAACGACCTCGGGATTCAGGTTTCTGATCTTGATCGAGGTGGCGGCGAACCGTTCCATGAATGCCCGGAGTGGTTCATCGTCGTTTTGCCTGAGGCTGGCCAAGGCGGCTGAAGTGACATGATGAGGTCGGCTCGTCGCATATTGCGCGGTGAATCTCCTGACTAGGGTGCCGAAGCTGTCGATGGACTAGGGGGGCAGTTGGGTGTACCAGTTGAGCACGACCCCCTTGAGTGAGGTCGGAAACACCCTACACAAAATAGCATCATTGTTGGTGTAGAGATTTACCTGTGTTGTGTACATGTCGATGTGCTCGTCCGGGTCCGTCGTACCATCGTAGCGGTCAAGGTGGAGAGGCTTCCACCCGTGAGGGAGTGGTGTCTCCATAATGCCATCCACAAAAGGGTGGCGGCGGAAGGTTGCCAGATCCCCCGCGGCATGAGTAGGAGCCTTGCTGACTTCATGGGTCGGCTTGTGCGTCGGTGCATGGGACCGATGTGAAGCAGGTCTGGGGGTTGGAACCCTAGTTGCAGTCCGGGATTGGGAGACTGAGTGCTCCTGCTCCTCATTATGGTTGCTCGTATGAGGAGGATGATCGGAGTGGTGTCGAGGTAGTTGAGCGCAGATTCGCTCGTTCTCGGCGCAGGTCGGCTTCATTAGCGGTACGCATTGCCGCCAGGTCAGTGTCGTGCTTAGCACGCATGTTTTGTAGGTCGGCGGCGTGTTCCTGCCGCATCTGTTCAACCTGGTCAATTAGTCTCCTCAACGCTGCTTCGTGATCCAGGGTAGTTGAGTGGTTTGCGTCGTCTGTTGGGCGTCTACTATGGCTTCTGGTGAAAACCATAAGCGTGGCCGATAAGAGCTGTCTTGATCGGCCCCACGGTGGGCGCCAAATGTTCTTACCGAAAATCTGCTGTAGAGCTGATCCGCCAGGTAAGATCGGTGAGCCTCTTTCACGGGTACCTTGGTGCTCCAAGATGGGAGTGGTACCTACAAAAGAGACTCCGATGCTAAAGTTAATGTTTGTGGGAGTATGAATCTCGTATATGTAATGCATGTACCTTAGTGTGAATTAGGGTTGCTTTGCGCCTTGGGCCTGAGATAAGATATGATAGGATTAAATGATGGATCCCGTCTGAAGCGAGATCCCTCGAGATCGGTTATGATTTGCTTAAATGCTGAGCTGACGTCGCATAGCACGTGCCCGGCCTTATTTTGTGCTGTGATACCGAGCTCGAAGCTCGACTTCGCAGTACGGACAGTACAGTTAGACTTGATAGCCAACTAAAGTGTATTAGGTCACTAATTTCTAGATTTGAAAACTATCAAGTCATTATATATATATAATTTTTAAATTAAATAAATTTGACAAGTTAGACTAATTCAATTAAAAATATCACAACAGCATAGTAAAATTCGAATAATAATTTAGTTCAAATTTTAATAATACAATTAACTTTAATTCAATGATAAAAAATAATTCAATTCATCTGAGTACCATCTGACTACCGTACAGTTTAATTCAATTCAAATAAATTTCTTTAAGTTTAATACATTTTTAGAACCTTTACAATTTTAATATATATTTATTTAACTGTTTGAATTAATCCGTATATGTAATTGAGTAATTAAGATTAAAAATGTTACTTTTAAATGAAAAAATAATAAATACCTGTAATTTAGTCTAAATATATGTAAATTAATTTTTTTAATCTGTACTGTAGGTAAAAAGTTAAAAGGACTAAAATTTTGATGTGGAGAAAGCAAAAGAAGAATTTGTGTTAAACATTATAAAAATAAAATATCAAACTCACTAATTGTATAAAAAAAAAACCAAAAAGTAACATTAAAACTCGATGGCAACATGTAATAACAAATTTGAAAATAGAAAGAAATTCATTCGAAGAAAGTATAAGGTACATGAAAATAACAGTGTGTAGTTTAACTAACCGAAAGAAAAGATGAAGAAAGAGGGATAAAAGAAAAGAAGATTGACTGTAAAAATAAATGTTGTCTCTCTCACATAACCTGAATCCTGAAGGAAGAACACAAGCTGAAGGTGTGATGCTACGAAACAAGAACAACGTTCGTTTCGAGACGTACCAATCCAAAACTGAAAAACACTGCTACACTGCACTTTGCACACTCACCACAGACGTGATTCGATGAAACTTACCTCACACAGCCGCCAATTCCACTCCCAACTCCAATGTCTCTCCTATCGCATTCAAATCTAACTTCTTCTTTTTTTTTTTCATTTTTTCTTCCAAAATCCACCCATGAATATTTTCCAATTAAAAAAAATTCTCTTGATCCTTTTTCAAATGGTGAATTCAATATCCAATGGCGAAAGTTACATTAAAAAAATAAAAATAAAAATAAAAATAAATAAAAAGCTAGCACCCCCTAACTCTTTTGACCCCATCCTAGAGGAACATTATTCCCATCATCCACATTAAATAGAAAACAATCCCCACCAACCAACCATCAATCACATCATGATGACACCCCCGGTGGCGGCGGCAGCGGCAGCGAGCGACGACTGCATCTGCAGCAGGTGGTGGTAGCAGTCGGCCGCTGTGGGCCTCTGCTCTGGGCTCTGCTCCATGCACCTCCCCTGCAGCTCCCGAAGCATCTTCGGCACCCCTCCCAACCCACACGTCCTAATCAAGTACCCCACCCCCCACACGTCCACCTTCACCCCATGCAACCCCCTCTCCATCTCCGGCGCGTGGCCCTCACGCGCCCCCGCCACGTGCCCCTTCAGCTCCGGCGCCCCCCCCGCCTCCTCGAACCCGCACACAAACCACTCCTCCCCGTCCACGCGCCGCATCACCTTCTCCCACTTCAAGTCCCTATGCATAAACGACAAGTCGTGCAGCGCCACCAGCGCCTTCGTCACGCACTTCAACGCCTCCACCAGCTCCTCAAAACTCCCCGGCCTCAAACGACACCCCCGCGGCCGAAACGACAACGTCAGCTCCCCCTCCGAACTCCCCACCAGAATCTCCGCGTGCGGAATCCTGTGGTCGAGAATCTCGTACACCTCCTTAACGGCCATCCACTTCCGCTTCTCCCAAAACACCCGAGTGCACGTGTTCGGCGTCAACTCCGTCACCACTCCGTTACCGTAACTAACCCTCTCGAAATCGCTATATATACCCCCCTTCGCACAATGCTTACTCAACATCGCCAACAACACCCCAATCCTGAAACACGGAACCAAACACTTCAACCTCTCCATCGGATTACTCAAATTCAACTCCAACAAATCCGTACGGTTGATTAGATTCACCCCCTCGTGCGACCTGCTCAACGCGCAAAACGTCACCGTATTGGCCACTGCGTAATAACCTAGAACATAAGGGAGATCCATGTAACTCCAGAGTAATTTTCCGACCAGCGTGCTCGATGGATCCGGTTGCGACTCTTTCAACCGATCCGTTTCCTCGCCGCGCCATAAGCAGAAGTTGTTCACGAATCCCGTTACGTTGGGCCACTGGTCTTGGATTAGGGTTTTGGCGGTGTCCTTTAACGAGGGTTTTCGGATTATTTTCATTTCTTCGGGGCAGAATCTCGCGATGACTCGGTTGACGCAATCGTCCCAGAGAGGGATGAAGGAGTCGCGGGAAGTGGGGATTGTGGGGCTAGGGTGGGTGCGGATGATGGGGCCCACGATGTCGTGCATTAGGGTTCTGCAATCCAAGGGCTCGGTGGCGGAAGTGAAGAAGAGTTCTTTTCCCTGAGGGAGGTCGTCGTAGACCTCGCGGCGGAGGGGAAAGCGGAGCTCCTCCGGTGGCGGGTCTTGGAGGTGGCGCCTTAGGTCGAAGAGGGTTGGGAGCGTTTGCGGGGATGATGCACGTAGGAGACATTCCATGTAGTATTCTGTTGGGTCTCGGAAATCCAATGTGCCAATGGCTGCCAATAGCAAATTCCAAACTCAATCATTCTGCTGGATTTAGTTTAACATAACAGTAATGCAAGAATGTTCAGTGTGTGTTCAGTGTCACTTTTGTTTAGTTACACTAAAAATATAACTACTTCCTTCAGTGTGTTGTTTATTTAATCGATTAAAGAGTAAACTTCCGGTTTAATCTTTGAAATAACTTACTGTATATTGCCTTCTTAAGTAAAACAAATTACTTATACAAGAAATTCATGGTTATTCAGTAATAGTATAACACATTAGTTTTTTATGTGGAAGGTAAACAAAATTCAGCATATACGATGTTTTAGAATTGAATGATACTATTTTCTCTAGAAACTAGAAATAATGCTAAGTAATTACTAAAAATATTATATAAAGTACTATCTTTTAAGTTAATTCCTAAATTTTATGTTCAATACTCAATCAAATAAATAGTTAAATAGAAAGATTTAGTACTTAAGGTTTATTTGCAAAAGGGTAATAATGAGGAAGAAATTAGTGATTTGTTATTAATTAGATTTTATAATCAAGGGAAAAAATGATACTGATTAAGAAACAACAAAAAGGATGAGTGGCAAAATTGGAAACAATATTTTAAGCTATCCAACGCAGAATGAAAGATACAAGATTGAAAGTAGGTGATATAATGTGATAATAATGAGACAGATTGAGGTGAAAAATTGTAGTGCTTATGTTGTCTCTAAAATATTGAGGTCGTGCTAAAACATTATTGCTCAATGAATAATAGGATCTTTTGTACCTTGAGAAATAAGTATAAAATAAAAAACAAGTGTATTTAATACTATAAGAACATAAATTATATATGTTCAATTCAATGCTGAGAGAAAGATGCTCAGACGATATATGAAACATACATTTAATATAACTACATACATTTAATATAACTATATGGCAGAAGGGAATATGCTAATATTAAATTTAAGAAGTATATATTCAATATATTTTTTCATTAATATAAAAGATCTAATTAAGATGTTATGAAAACTATTTAGAATGAAATAGAATGGATGCTGTCCGATAATACAGATATATACAAGTTTAAAGCTGAAAAAGGTTGTTTTACCAACACATGCACCGTATTAGACTAAACAGACCATACTAGCTAGATCAAAGAATGAGGCCGGTGTGACCACTGTCCAAAAATATGAAAAGAGAACTCACATCTTATGGGAAGTGCTTTGGAGGGAAGTTGGACTCTTTCAGCTAAACCTGGGAAAGAGAGACAATGACACTGTTAGGCAGAATCCTAGAATATGTAAAACAAGGCAACGGAGTTTAATTTAAGGAAACATGTTTGGTTTGGCACCAGAAGAAGCCGAGGCCGGGGAAGCCTTTCTTCTGCCAAAAACTTTAACTTGCTGTCCCGAAACGAATCTGTCAACAGAGAAACCCTTCAAAGGACCATCTTCGAAATATTCCATGGGACAAGGCACCATGGCATCGTCAAAGCAAGTGAGTTCATCTGCATTCAGAAAACTCGAAGATTGAAGCTTCACTCTCCCTCTGTGAACTTCACCTTCTTCTGCCCACAAACTCACTGATTCCTCCCACGTCATTCTTATCTTCCCCATTCTTCGGAGTGGTTCCCTCGATGATGAAGAAGAGCCTGAAACGTCCAAGAGAGACTCTAACCCTAATAAACCCCCTCTTGAGCCCTGAAAGAAAGGTTCACCCCCACTTGTCAAAGCCAATTGCTTTGTCCTTCCTGCAACACAACAATGACGACATGTTACAAGGTTAAAGTTCAAAACTACAAAAAGCTTGGAACTTTGATTACGTTTTCACGCATTTCTCACTTTGTAGAGCATTATTCTTCCCTAGTTGGGTGAGGAACAGTGGTGGTAGTTGTAACAGTCAGAGAATCACAGTAAATATACTGTTCCTTTTGAACCCTTCGTGAATGCATCAACTGTGCATTCCATAAAAGGGAAAGTAAAAAATAAAAAAAGAAATAAGAAAACAGAAACTTTACTGTGTGGGATTACGTTAGCCAAGTGCATTGAAGATTAGGTGATAAGAGGGGAAACCGGAAAAGTAGGGGAGTTCAATAAAAAGATCATGCGTTATTCCATTTTCATGCTTCAACAACAAACCTGAATGAGGGGTTGCTTCATCGTCTTTGAGAGATCGAGGAGGAGGTAGAAGAGCTCTTGTAGCAGCAAGAGCCGATCTAGCTTCATCTCCTGACACAAAAGAGGAACCAGCTCTGCCATGAGAGGATCTCATTCTAGACCCCATGAACTGAGAAAGCTCTTCGAAAACATCTTCATCAAAAGAAGCTGGGAGCCTATGCAACTTTCTCTCATACTGTGAAAGCCGGAAATAGCTCTTCCCAATTTGTTCCCTCTCACCCCCTCTTTCCCATTCATACACTTTCCTAAACTCTCCCAACATGTTATCCCATTTCGTCCCTGCAGTTTTGGCATCTCTATTCACCCCATGCCTCCTGAGAAATTCGGCAACTTCTCTATCTTTATCAGCCCTGGTTTTCCCTCTCGAGATTCCCAATTCTCCTTGTTGTTCTGCTCTTGAAGAAGATTCAGATCCACCACCACCACCTTGGTATTGCTCCTTCCAAGCCCTTGCTAGCCACAGCATCTCGTTGGGCTTCCAAACTGGGCTCACGTACTTCCCCTTTCTGAGTTGCTGGTGAACTTGTTCTCCCTCTTGCTTGGTCCCTTCATGGCCTGAACTAGGCATGGGGGAGTGAGTTGGAGATGAAGCAGTGGTGTCTGATGAAGAAGCCGGTTGTGTTTGGGGTTGTTGAGGGTTTGATGAGGCGTGTGTGGTTGGTGAAGGGCTTGATTCCGTGGTGGGAAGCATGGCCATTTGGGACTGTTTTTGTTTTGCAGATGGAGATGGTAGAAGTTGCTTCCATTGTCCACTGTATCTAGGCCTCTTGGGGTTGAGTGACTCAAACTGAGGGTCAAAGGGTGAGGAACTTGCACCACTGGAAACATATAGAGGACTTGAAATGAAAGGGGGTGCTCCAGTTACAACCACAACTGGTGTCTGTTGTTGTTGGTGGTGGATTGACCTAACTTCTGTGATGGGTGGTAATTCCTCACGTGGGGCTTGAGGAGAAGATGAAATTTGCTGTGTTTGTGGTTGTTGTTGTTGAGTTTGTTGTTGCTGTTGGTGGTGATGGAGAGATTGAGGTTGTTGCTGCTGTGGTGGTTGTTGTTGTTTCTTGGATGTGTCACCCTTGTCGCCCATTATGGAGTAATGGGCCCTATCAAAGAAGGGTTTTTTATGGGAGAATGAAACACAAAGAAGGAACGGGAACAAGGGTAATGAGTAACAAGGAGCTATGTTTTTTGCATTGTGTTGAACTAGGTGTAGTGTTGTTGGTGGTGTGAGTGTTTAATGGGGTGTGTTTGTTTTTTGTATTTGTTGGGGGTGTGGTTGTGACATGTTCTCAAAAGGGTTTTGAATGCGCTTGTTGGCTTGATAGATGGATGATGGCACTTCTGCCATATCTTCAAACGGGAAAGTCACAAAGTAGAGAGGATCGCAGCAAGCAAAAGCAAACATCCGAAACGATGAAAAGTAGCAACAGAAAGGAGAAAAAACTAAAAAGTCAAGAGAGTGTGTGGGAATTGCCGTGAATGAGACGGTTCGGTTGTGTTCTTCTTTTTTTATTTATTTATTGTGGTTATTATTATTTATTAATCTTTGATTTCAATTAAGAGAAGGAGCAACACCGTTGTAGTTTTGATGTGTCATTCTTGACAAGTTAGAGAGAGAGTGTATGTCTAAGTGCATGATTAGAGAGGGGTGTCATGATTGTACCACTTCTGAAAAACGCGGCTCTAAGAATTTTAACATTTTCTTTTTCACGTTTAATACATTTATTTTACCATAGAAAGAGAGATAAAGAGATTGAATTCCCGCACAGAGCGAGGGCGTGGAGTGGAGACTGAGAGTGTGTGAGTGAGGTTTATGTGTTTCGGGCTTTGAGAGAGCGAGATGGGGACTTCACAAATCGATGGCTCTGTCCCAATGAGACTTTGCTTATGACAATCTTGGCTCTGTCCTATTTTTCTTTCATTTTTTTTTCTTCCTTTAAATAATTTTTATTTTTTTTTTATTTTTTTGGTTTTGGGCCTTAGCAAGTATTTACATTACACCTGTTTCACTTCTATTTTTAGGACTTTCTTTATTTTCAAGCAAGTACTGTTGCCTTGCTACTTTTTGGGTATCATTTTAGTCTTTGCTTGTTCAAATAAAGTTTCCAATGAAATGACTAAAAATATAAAATAAAATTAACAACACAGAGAAATCCGGTGAATAATTATCCAGAATATGAATATAGACAAGTTTATATGCTTTTATTGAGATTCATCATCTCTTTCTAATTTATACATGAAACAAAAATGGTGTTTGACTTCAACTATTTCAATTGTAATTGTACAACTGTTAATTGTGTTGATGTTAATGTCCTAGAATATGATTCAAATCTTACTTTGAACACTTTGTTAACACGTATTATGGTCTTCTTTCACCTCTCTTCAATATATATATTTTGATAAATATATGTTAAGAATGTATTTTTGAATTTTTTTTCACTTCCATTTTTTTTTCATATTCTTCTTAAGTTAAAAGTAAAGTTGAGAATAAGTCACACTTTAAATTAAGACAAATGATTTAATTTATTTAAATTCTTCCTCTATCTAATTTATTTAATAAAAAAATTATGTTTTGAATTAAAATCTATAGAAAAAAACAAACGGATACTTTTCACACCTTTCTTTGCTCGTATACAGTACTTTCCTGGAAACAAACACTACCTTAAGGACGATCTGGTCCAGGGATTGAAAAATATTTTATTGTACTTGAGATAAAAAAATGTTACTTTATTTATAATAATATTTTAAAACAAAATATTGTCAAATAATTTATTTATTTGTTCAATCTATACTAACATTTTAATAAATGTAAGTAGATAAATATTATTAAAGAAGAAAAATGAAATAGTAATTGAATTGTTTAAAATGTTTTGCATCCCCTACTTTTAGCTTCTTAAATTTGTCACTAAGGATGAGAATAGGTCATGTCTTAAATACGGGTATATGATTGCCTCTTTAAAACTAGGTCTAGCTTGATCCTGTTAAATAGAAATGTCAAGTTTAGACTTTTAAAAAAGTTTATTTATATAAAAAGTTTAGACTTAAGCTTATAAAAAAGTCTATTAAACCTAATATAGGTCAACCTGTTTATTTATATAATATAATAAAAATTAATATATATATATATATATATATTATTAATATAATTATATAAATAATTTTTTAATATATAAAAATTAAATTAATTATATTTTTATCATTTTTATTATACTTAAATATTTTACATTCCTCATTCGTACAAAATTAAGAAATAAAAAATAAAAATTCTAATAATCACATTTTTTTTACCGTTTTTTTTATTTATTTTCATCTTCATGATTGATTATTTAGAATGTTTCAAATAAAATATAGTGTATGTTTTGAAATTTGTTTCCATAAGATTATCCTTTCATTTCATAAGAGTTGTACATGAGTGTACATGATGTACGAGTTGTCGATTTTAAATTAGTTATAATTTTTCTTTAAAACCTAAATTTTAATGGGAAAATTGCACTAACCTTTCTTGAATTTTTTTTTAAGTGAGACACATTTACTCTCTAATTTTTAAGTGAACACTAATCTCCTTTATTTATTTATCTAAATGACAACTTATATAAGACAATATTATGTGTGAACTTTAAAAAAATAAATTATTAATACAAGTATCAGCTATTTAATAATACTTGATCATTTACTTAATTTTAACTCTCAAATAATATCCTAAATATCATTCTATTATGATTTAAAATATTTACCAATTTCAAGGAACATTTTCAAAGAAGGGATTGAAAAATTATTATTTTCAAAATTGAAGAATAATGAAAATTTTCATACAAAATCAAAACATTGTATGTAATTTAGAAACGAATAATAAATGCATATTAACGTATATAATTGATAGGATATGAATCTTTTTTTTTTTTTTGCTTTTACTTGTTCTCATTCTCTCATTTTAACTAATGATATTATTCTAAAAGAAATGAGTAAATTTTTTTTAAAAACTAGAGATAGGACTGTCAAAATGGGTTAGTCCACAACCCATTTGTCCCAACCCTCCTCAACTCACTATAAAAATGATTTGTTCTGGTCCAAACCACCTATGTTAATGCTTAAAATTTTTCAGTTGACTCGATCCACCACGTGTTGGTGGACTAAACAGGTCACGTTACCAATCCACCTATTTTATTTTTAATAAAAAACTCTAATTTGAAAATAAAATTCAATCTAAAATATCCTCCAACCTAAAATAAAATTTATCAAATTAAGCATCTTGTATACAAATTTAAACTTAATTTTAAGAAAGTGTACAACTTTAAGTAATCAAACAAAAAAATTCTTATTATTGAAGTAGTTTTCCATCAATATTAAACTTCATTATAGGCTTGAGTACATAAATCCATAGCAATTTTATGTTGTTTAACATCAAGGTTATCTTTATATTCAAAAGAAAATGAGACCTTGTTAAAATAATAGTTATAACAACAAGTGATTAAGTAGATCATTAGTGAGTTGAGTTCATGAGAGGTGTAAGTGAGTTAAGTGGCCAGTCTGACCCACCACGAGTTTAGTCCAAGTGAGTCGGGTTGAATTTTTCGATCAATTATGAAATTTTTTATTTTCTTTTCTGACTCGATCCATTTTCAAGATGAGTCAAATTAACTCATAATTTGACAACTCTAATAAAAGGGAATATGTGTATGTCATTTAAACAAATTTCAAGAAAAATGAATATAATTTTTTCAATTTTAATAATAATAAAATAAACTATATTTTTATTGTAAAGTTTCACACATATTTAAAAATAAGTTTACTAATTTATTAATGTAAAATAATTTTTTTAACAAATACCATAAATAAGACTCACGCATATTTAAAAATAAGTATTAATTTATGAATATAAAATAAATTTTTAAACAAAATATACTTTTAAAAAGATCAAGTCAACTTTATAAAAAATTTATCATAAAAAAGACTCACATTTTAATACGACTCATGCATTTTTAAAAATAAATTTATTAATTATTAATTTATGGTAAATTTCTAAATAAATACATAGTCAATTTTATAAAAGTTTATCATAAATAATAGTTTAAATTTAAACTTTAATTTTATAAAATAAATTATATATAGTCTAACATGTTCTGTACTATTTGAGAGAATGATTGGTCTTTATTCAAACAGTACTTTTAAAAAAAAAACTTATATTTATCTTGGTATAATGACTAAGGCTTAAATCTATTGTCTATTGTCAAAATTAATAAGAATAATTTCAATGGTCTATAAGGATATTGGGATTTGGGAGAACTGTCATCCGAATGATTCGTCTTTATTCAAACAGTACTTTTAACAAACTTATATTTATCTTGGTATAATGAGTAAGGCTTAATTTTACTACCTATTGTCAATATTAATAAGAATAATTTCAACGGATTGGGAGGGTATTGGGGGAACTCTCATCCCACACATATGTCAGAGTTATATATTATGATATTTTTTTGTGTCTTGAGAGGGCATATTTATTAAGAAAGGGATTATATTTTGTTTATTATTTTTTATTAATTATTTTACACATAATTTTACATTAATTAGATATTTTTATGATTTTATTTTGATCATCATCTAAAAAATTCTCCAACTATTAGAATATATTTGATTTATAAAAAAAATTTCTTGTTCTATCTATACAAAACTTTATTTGCATCCTAATATTATTGTCTGATAAAAATAATTTTCATGTATGTTTGTAGGATTCATTGAATTTGAAAAATACATAGGAGGATGCATGCATGCATGGATATATGTTAATATTAAAAAAATATTTATGAAATTAAAATGCATTTAGTCCATAATATAATTCAAACCAAAAAAATCCAAACAACAAAAAAGCTTAATGTTGAATTTTTAAAAAAATATGTCTGGCTTATGAAAGAAACTCAAAGTCAGAAGAAGAAAAAAATATGTAGAAAATAAAATAACTATTTGGTTGTGGTAGGAGAAAAAAGGGGGAAAAAAGAGTAAAAGGAAAGAAAAAATAATTATTTTAATGAAAACGATAGAACCGACTCTAAGATTAATGTCTAAAGAAATAATAATTAATATTATTAAATTTTTACTTTTTTATGTACTTTTCTCTCCAAATCGTTTTTGAGAATTAATTTTAATATAATTTTCAGTTTTATTTTCTCTCTCGTATTTTCATGTATAATAAAAGAAGAACTTTTATTCTTATTATATCATCAATTTTGTCGTCAAATATCACTCTATCACCTATTTAATCCATTGAATAATAA